CCACGCTCTTCCAGAAGCGAGCCGCGCTACGGAAGAACGTCACCAAGCCCCACCACTTTCACCATGCTACCTTCAATTATGACTCTGATGACTTCACTCAGACTAATACTAACACTGCTCCTAAGCTCGATGAGCTTAGTGCTAACAACGCTGCCAATACCTCCAATGGGAACACCACTCCTTTCGACCACAAGGGCAAGAAGAAGGGAATGCCCGCTAAGAATTTGATGGCCGAACGACGTCGTAGGAAGAAGCTCAATGATAGACTCTACATGCTTAGGTCCGTTGTTCCTAAGATTAGCAAAGTAAGTAACTCTTCTTTTCTCTCCTATTTCCATCCTCAATTCATGTCAAATTACTTTAATTGCTTGCTTTGCTTTGGCTCCATCTGTTACTCCTTTAGGACTTGTTTGGATAAATTTCTTCACAATCACTGTAAAACAAATTGAAATAAGTTTCTCTATATGGATAAGTTAAAATTAAGATTTTGGAAAGGTAGCATGTAAAAGTATGTATAAGCTAATTTTAACTCATGGAAGAGTTTACTTCATTTTTTCTTGCTATTTTTTTTTTTTTTTTTTCTATAAGTGATTCTGGAGAAGTTTAAGCAAATTGGACCCTAGTTAATTGATGTAAAATTACTTTGTAGATGGACAGGGCTTCAATCCTTGGAGATGCAATTGAGTATCTTAAGGAGCTTCTGCAAAGGATTAATGATCTTCATAACGAGTTGGAGTCGACTCCTGCTGGTTCTGCACTCACTCCTGTCTCCACTTTCCATCCTTTGACGCCTACTCCTCCTACACTGCCCAGCCGTATCAAAGAAGAACTGTGCCCCAGTTCATTGCCAAGCCCCAATGGCCAACCTGCTAGGGTAATGTTGTTTCTTCTCCACTCTCCGATCTTTCCCTTTTGCCTCCATGTATATAGAGTCTATTTGAATACGTGTATAGCAAAGTTTGAGGGTTCTTTTACTAAAAAAACTTTTTTATTTTCAGTAGAAAAACTCTCAAAAGCTCTTTTAAACTTGTATCTAAACAGACATACTCATTTCGACCAAGCTTCCTTGCTTTGTGTTAATGTTACTGGAAACTGGCCCCATTTGAAAGAGCTTATTTAGATTAATCTTATCACATAGATACTTACGTAAGTGTTTCGAAGAATTTGAGAAAATGGCTTATAATATTACTTTGCTTATATAAACTTTTCCATAAACACTTACAACAGAATAAAATAAAGAGGTAAATTAAAATGAGTCTTTTCATAAATTAAAATTAATTTTTGCATAAGTTAATTTGTAACAGTTTTTTCATTATAGTTTCTCCAAAAACTAATTTTAATTTATATACAAGTTAATTATAGTTTATGGGAGAAGCTTATCTCATTTTGTTTTATTATTATAATTATTTTCCTATAATAGGATCCATATCCATAAACAGTTTTTTTTTAAAACTTATTTCAACAAGCTATTCGGGATAGGAGTCTGGATTCTTAGCCCTCACAAAATTGACTGCACGAAATCCTATCCATTAAAATTAAATTATACACATTAAATAATAAACGAAAACGTAATATATATATATATATATATATTAGAAACAACTTATACGTAAGTTCTTAATTAATCTATTTATGTGGTGGGATATATGACAGCATGCAAATTTTTCTATGTGCTTTAATAATTTGGAAGTGAAGTTTTGCTTGTTTACCAACTCTACACTAATCAATCTTGCTTTAACACTAGGCTCATAGGAACAGTCAACATTTTGTGTTGCTATTGGTGTGATTTAATAGAAGCTTTTATTAATACAATGGTGCGTGCAATTATAGGTTGAGGTTCGGCTGCGCGAAGGAAGGGCTGTTAACATCCACATGTTTTGTGCCCGCAAACCTGGTCTGTTGCTCTCAACCATGAGGGCTTTGGATAACCTTGGATTAGACATTCAGCAGGCTGTTATTAGCTGTTTCAATGGATTTGCTATGGATATTTTTCGAGCGGAGGTAAAACTTTTATTCTGTTACCAACACCTACATGTGTGTTTGATTTAGAGTTACATTCAACATAACCCAAAAGCAACACATTAGTTGCTTTGATATTTTTGCATTGGAAAGATGAAAAAGTCCGTTTAACTAGTGTTAAACGGTTTCCCAAACACTTTGTACATCACTTGGAAATCAAATCATGTTGCTACCAAGCTGCAAGGTTGATTGATATTTTTTCCTCAACAGTCTCAACCTTGTTATAAATATCTAGTCGAACTTGGTGTCCCACCTGTTATAGATAGGAGAAGAGATATATCTAAAGAGAACTTGGTATGTCAACTGTCAAGATCCATTATAAGATGCGTATGATATTCTAATGGTTTCCACATCTATTAATGGCTTAAGTGTTGGAATGGTTTTGTAGTTTCTGCTTCTTAAGAACATTATTTGCTCTGTAGTTGTCATCAAGGTTACACTTATTGTTGAAGTAAATAGGAATTAAAAGAGTTTTGTTATATACTACTAAAACGTTATCCAAATAATCTTCTCAAGAGGAATATTAGAGACACTCTCTCTACTACTAATTGAAATTTATTGGAAATCACAAATTTTTTGTGGGTTCTACTACTAAAGCAAGAGGGAAACTAAAATTTGTGATTTTCAGTAAATTTAGCCAATAATAAAGAGAGAGATAGAAAGGGAGTTACTAGCATTGTTCGTCTTCTTAATACTTTTTGAATAAAGTAGTACATGAAAACCATAGATATATTTAATGTCTTAAATATATAAAAAGCATTCAATAGTGATTTGGAATTTCGGAGGATGATTTAGAATTACTTGATAAAAAATCATGTTTGCTATTAAACTGATGATTGTTGTGTAAAGACTATAACTATCCTTCTCTCTTTCAGCAATGCAAAGAAGGTCAGGATGTTCATCCGGAGCAAATCAAAGCAGTTCTCTTGGATTCAGCAGGCTACAATGGCATGATGTAACTAGTTTTGGCAAGAAACAAACTAGTAAATGCCATTTCACAGTCAAATTTGGCAAAGTTTAATCAGCTTTTTCTTTGTAATGTCCTCAATTTAGGTGTACGATACTAGCTCTGATAACTTAAGTTTAATTTGAGGTAGAAGAATTTTTCACATGAATTTTACCCCGGCACTGGCAGCAGCAGTTACTGTTTGGTACCTTTCACATGTTCATGTGGAACCCAAGGTTGATGATATTTCGAGTTCAATTAGTTCAAGGACATTTCTGAAGGCGCGTTTTGACGTGAAGTTTGTATTTAGGTTAAAACCCTATTTTGGTCCCTTATAATCTTTTTTTGTTTCAATTTAGTTTCTCAATAATTTTTTGTCTCAATTTGGTCCCAAATTAATTAATTGGTTTTAATTTAGTCCTAAATTAATTAATTGGTTTCAATGTGGGACTTTCCGTCCAAATTGCTTTAACGGTGTTAACTTTTGGCCACGTCGACGCCAAGTAGATGCATACGTGGCATCCACGTGGATGAGAATTTTT